TAAAAATATATATTATTAATTATAAAATATATATAAATATATATATAGTATTACAACTTTTTTAATGCATCAAAATATGCTTTTCATATATATATGTATATATATATATATTTGTACATAATTCCGCAGTGTTTCGTAATACTGATTTATTAATAGTTTACTTTTTCCTCCCATGCCAATAATGGGCGTTCAGTTAGTGAAGATATATTTTTATTTATGAGGATTTTTTTTCCTTTTATATCATGCATTATCTGCCATATTTAATAATGTGTTATTTTAAACAACAGTTTAGAAGGCAACAAAAAATTTATCCTGGAATATTAGTCTCCTTTGTTTAAATTCTAATAAAAGAATATAAACTAATTTGTACGATTTCTGTTAAAAATTTATGTCTGAACAAATGAAATGAAGACATTCGTCATTTTAATGGTAATGTAATACAGTCGAACCTTGTGAACGTGACTAATTTTCGATTCCCCGTCAAACTGTATACGGATATAACACCTTAAAGAGCATTTTTAACATGAACACATTTAATGTAAAATATCTTTTCATGTGAACTCGAATTTCATTGGAGAACATATTACTTTTAACGTGAATAGAAAATTCATTTCCTTCTTACAGGTAAGAAAACTGACAAATACTGTTCTGTAAGTAGTAGGTTCTTTTTTGCGTAACTACCACCAGGGCCGGATTTAAGCTTGCCGGGGCCCTAAGCTACTGAAAATGACGGGTCCCTTATAAGTTCATTTCTATTTTCATACCTCTAAAGTAAAATGTCATTTTTTATTCTTGAGTAATAACATTATACTATTAAAAAATTTGATAATATTACTTGATTTTTAAATATATTGATTGTAATGTAGGAACCTTTCTTTTATTGCACATAATTTTTAAAAAAAAAAAGTTATATCAGAAACACATTTTAAGATCAATATAAGCACAGAGTAAAAATTTAGCATGCTGGAAGGGTTATTATATATTTAACAGAGTTCTTTTTTTTCTTCTTTTTTTTTGAAATTTTTAATTTTGTTAGTACAGTTTTAAATGATTTTTTTGCGAGTTTTGATTTTCTGCTCAAAACCTATAAGACTTAGAAACATGAAATTATGATGGTGTGTAGAAAATATGTAAGGAGTCAAGAAAAAATACAATTTGATCATAGTTTTATTTATTTTTTAAAAACCGCGTATTGAACAACCGACTCAATTTTGAGTTAATGACTACTACTACGATTATTAAACATCGATTCACTAGTATAAAAGACATGCTAACTCAATTCAATTCTGAGCTATCCTTAAATATATGAAGTCGACAAGGTTCGAAAGATGCTTTCCTAACATAAGCCAGTTGTTGAATAGAGTATTAAAATTGTCGAGGGGATTTGTACTCATTAGAGTTTTTTTTTTCACCCCATGAGAATTTTTCATGAGTGTGAATGTGATGAAGCATGTTTTTCTGAGAAATGATCGCCCATATCGATCCTTTGTTTAATATGGGTTGTGATTTCTTCCACACTCTCACGTGTTCTAAGAAACTGATAGCGCTGAATTCCATTTCTGCAGATAAAGTCGTGTGACGCTAAAATGTTTCTTAAATTTTACTAGCGAAAACTTTAGGTTACTTTACTCTGATGGATGCAATTCGAAGCAATCAATCATTTTGTTATGCGAAATAAAAAATTCGAATCATTTTTTGGATATGGTTGATAAGTTGGAAAATTTTTGGAAAGCACGTGCAAATAAAAAGCCATGCAGCCAGATATTACCAATTCTTATGTTAGTAATCCTCTCTAATTTGTGCAATAAAACAGTTTACACCAATTAATTATTTTTTACTAATTTTTATATTTGCTTCTACAGAATGGGAAAGAAAAAAAAAATAGAGCACCGAAAGTATGTCCACATTTTGAATTTCGTCTTAACTAAAATTAATTTTTTTCTTTCATTATAACTTTATTTTATTTTTTAAAGTAATTGGTTGTATTTATTATGAGAGTTATTAATTTAAAATAAAGCTCAAAATAAAAGCATTTATTGAAATGGCATATATATTTATTTACATATTTAAAATATAAATTTAAGATTAGAAAAAGCAAGTAGATCACAGATGTAGATGATAGAAAAGTTTTGTGTACTTACGATATTAATTTTAAAAAAATTCTAAACTGATAACATGAATAACTTTTAACGTGAAAAACTTTTCTGCCCCCCCCCCCTTCGAGTTGACGTTAAAGAGGTTTAATTGTGTTTGTAAATAAAATTTTGGTGATTTACGAGGCTCATAGTTTAAAGCTAAAACTCGAACGGAGTGAATTATAAATGTTCAAAGTGACAGTAACCATTGTAAATCAGTTTAAAAAGTGAGCTGAAATAAAAAATGTACTTGAAAATAAAAATTTCTTTATCTTCACAGTTGATTAAGAAGAAAGGCCGACATGTTTCAACGCACCCGAAATACGACAATCTTTGACAGGGTGAGAAAACTTAGAAACAAGAAAAAGGCCCGGCTGACAACAATCGCATGCGGTCCTGACGAGGAGCGTCATGTTTCGGACGCTCGAAGCATATCAACCTTTTTTCCGAATGAATTGAGGAAAGATTTAACTAATTATTTGACTACATATTTTTTCAATTTTTATTTCAAGCAAAATTTATTTTAAATAAAAAAACATACACACACACACACACACACACACCGATTTTTAAGATTTTTTGTAAGTGGCCCGCCTAACCTCATAGACATGCATGTGATAGGGAAATATTACTTTATTAACGAATTTTCTTTTTATTTTGATTTGAAAAGCACGATGGGAAATACCAATACAATATTTTATTAGCGCATGTACTTTTATAAGAAAAGTTATATATTTAAAAATAAAAAAATATTGGCATTTTACTTTAAATAATTTCATAAAGACAACCGAAATATTAAATGAATAATGGATTTTTAATTGGTTCTAAATACCATGAAAGGTTTCAAAAATCATCACTCATTAAAAAATTACTTTCGGAAACATCTTCCAGGGTTCTTACTTAAGGATTAAGCTAACGGACACCTAAGTTCTAGGGTTAAGATAACAGAACATCATTTGAGAACTGTTGCTCTGGTGCTAACCTAGAAAACCTGAAATCAACATAGCAGATAGTATTCAGCATTTGATATATTACCCAATCTCTCTCTTTTTATTTATTAAATACATTTATTTTATTTTTTATAGCTTTTTGTATGTTTATTTAATTTTTTCATGGAATTATTTGGCGTTTATTTAAGTACTATATTTTTAGCTTGCTTTGGCGTTGAAATTTTTTTTTAAATTTTTCATTAATTATTATTTTTGATTACACCTTATGGGGAAAAATAATTATATATAAGCATTTTCGAAAATTTACAAAAATAAAATAATGAAATAATAAGAAAAAAATAGTAAAAAACAATAATAATACTAAGGCTAATCTTATATATTTTAATGAAATTTCTTCCAACGAAGAAAATATGAAGATTTTGGAAAACCATATAACAGTTTTAAATGACCTGGAAGCACTAGGACTGGCGCACATTAACTAGCACACAGTACGAACACAATCACAGTTAACATTAAATACTTTGTTGTTGTTGTTGTTGTTGATTTACGTCGCACTAGAGCTGCACAATGGGCTATTGGCGAAGGTCTGGGAAACATCCCTGAGGATGATCCGAAGACATGCCATCACAATTTTGATCCTCTGCAGAGGGGATGGCACCCCCGCTTCGGTAGCCCAACGACCTGCGCGTGAAGTCGAGCACTTTACGGTAGCACAGTTTAACGAGGACCAATACCGCACACCCTCGGTCCCTACGCAGACTGATCCAAGTGGGTCACCCACCCGCACACTGACCGCAGCCAGTGATGCTTGACTTCGGTGATCTGATGAGAACCGTGTCTTAACGATCAGTTCACTGCGGGACTAAATACTTTAAAATAAACAAGTAAAGAAAGATTTAAAATACATGAATGAATAGAAATTCATCTTACTTTTTGGCATATTTATGTAATTCTGGATTCATGGGTCCTTGAAACTGTTCAGTTTGTTGACTTAGAAAATTAAAGTTTTTATGTAATTCTGGTTCGGAGATTTTGGTACATCATGGCATCGTCAAAAGATTCTCCTTCCTTCACCGTTTTCATATAATTTATTATAATTATTATAGAAAAATCCGGTTTCTTTCCCGTAAGAATCGAAAAATTCCATGTAATCTCTGTCTGGAACAAAAATCGCTACCCAATGCAGATCTCGAATCGTTCCGTCAGTCAATGGTGATGTATTGACGATAAAAAGCCGAATTTTCTTCCTGCAACTCTTCCGTATAATCAATTTTGTCTGCCGTAAAAATTAAGTGTATTCAAGAGAAAAACGCTCAATGAATATAATTATGAACTTTATTTTGCGATTAATATAATTTTTATTGTACCTTCTTTTAATTATGAAATATTTAAAAAAAAAAATTAAATTATCTAAAAAGTGTAATGGTTAATAGATTAAAATAATCAATGTATACATAATTTAGATAAACAAACATTACATCAGGAAAAATTAAAATATATGTGTGTTTGCAAGACAGCAATCCTGATTTAATGTTTGTTTGAATATCTAAATTAAAATGAAGCAAATTTGGTTTTAGCTGCTTCAGGCGCTTTTCCATTTTGATTTAATGTTTTAATAGTTAATTTACTTCTTTGTCTCTTTTGCAAATTGGATTCATTTTCTGATTAGATATGTACATAATTAATAACTAATAGATAGTAATAATATTTACTGTAGATAATATAAATAAAAACATTTTTATCAATCAATCACAATCATTTATTTGTTAACACTATGTAATAATTTTTTTCATTTTTTTTTCATTCTGTCAAAAGTTTTCTAATAAGGCATTAATTCATTTTTATTTCATTATGCTCAAATTGTGCAGTGCAGGGAAAAACCATCAGAACACCCTGAATAACTTCTGATCTAATGATCGGATCTTCAGAGGCTTTACGGAATGTTGAAAAAAATAAACTGCTCCTTGAAAATTTTTAAATTTTCTGAAACTTCATACAACTTTAAAGTTGAAATTCGATGTGCTGAAAGGGCCATTTTTGTTTTACAAAATTAACACTATTTTTTTTCTTCCGAAATTCCAATTTGTTTATGCGATATTGCAATTTTAAGTGATGCCTTCTGGTTTTCGTTACATTTTGTTTTGCTGTGCAAAAACTATTAGTACGATTAAAAAAAAAAAATGTTAGATATTACGAGTTATAAAGCTCAACATTGATATCGAAGTTTTTAAAAATATCAAAAACTCAAGACAGATAAAACCTTTTTCGATTTAAAGCCTCGCCTAATATCAAATGAGCGTTATATATTATTAACAAGTATGTAATTATTTATTAACCACATTCTCATTTACTAAAAAAATATTTTATTTAAATGATGGACAGGTCAAAGAATGAAATTAAACGGTATTTTTTTAAAATAAATTTCATGCAAAAATGTTGACATTTTAACCATAGAAAATAAGTTTCCAGAGATCCCTTTAGGAAAAAATAACCAAATAAGGTACTCTTTTACCCCGATGAGCTTAATATTTAATAAAATTATTTTTGATATGTTGCACATTTAGACATAGTATTCATAAAAAAATATTTCGAAATTTTAAAATCCCTGCAAACTTTGAAGTTCATAATTAAAAGATTGACAAACATTTACTGATATCATCACAATAGGATCATCATTGTTGTTCATCATTGCGTTGGTAAAACAGGAAAAAAAAAAGGAAAAGTATAATTAAAATATATAAATGACTGTACATAAAAAAAGAAGAAATATGTATCTTCCTTAAAACCTACAGTACCTGAATTAATTGCTACTCGTTCAATCAACTTTTTCACTTTCTTTGCTGTAGGTTCTATACCAAGCGCTCTTAACGTGACCTAATTGTTTAAAATACACATTAAAAATTATAATTTGCACACACACTGAACATACGAATTATGTAGGGAAAAGGTAGGTCCTTCTCAACTAGTAAAGTGTAATTCGGAGTGTGTCCGCTATAAAACAGACAACTTGGATATAATCGAAATACCCGGTTTGCCCCCACTACGCAGTCTTACCCCATTTTCACCTATAAGAGAAAGGCAATGGGGGAAAAAATAGAGAAGGATTGCAAAAAAATATTGAAATATATTCTAACAATTTTTATCTTTAATATTATAATTTCGCAATCGATAGCACAGACTTTCTTTACAAAAATAAATAAATTGAGAATAACTATATTTAAACATTTTCAAAAAATCAAATCACTAAAAAAAAGAAGAAGAAAAAATGAAGATTATTTGGCACTATCTTTTGTATAGTGATTGTGAGTAATATGAACACAAGATCGGAATTGCTGAAGCTGTTCCGGGAATTGGCGAGCAATAGCGGCGAACTTTTAGTAATAAAGTATATTTTAGTTCTAATGTGTGATACTAAAATCTATACATATATTTCTCTTATACGGCGACGAAAAAAAGCCTTATTACAACTCCCCGAATGGCAACGCTAGAAAATCGACCAATGATTGCCGTTAAAAATGTCACACTCCAAATCTAGCTGAGGTGGCTCAACATATAGCGCTTTTAAAAACGGAAACTGAAATAACAGTTCAGCTGCGGCAATCTCATACTATTAAGCTAGGCAGAAGTGAGTAGTCTTTGTCGATAGATCTCTATTTTAGTATTTTGTCGAAAGCGCTTTTTTTCACGAATTTATATATTACGAATTTAATTGACGATTTTTGATTTATATCACGAATTTATTTCTTTTATTACTGTTATTAGTTATTCATTGAAAAATGAGTCTCAGTCTATGACTCTTTATTTGATTTCAAATTTATTTTAATGACTTAGTATTTACTAAAAAGAGGTATTTTTAAAAAAAAAAAGTTGTTATATGGATTTGAATGATTCTTTTGAATTCTTAGAATTTTGTGCGTTTGCAATGTACCTAAGTTAGTAGCGAGCGAAGCGAGCTTGGTTTATGAAGCAAACCATACAAGATTGCGTAGCAATTTTCGGGGGTTGGTGAGCGTTTGCGCGAGNTACCTTACTAAAGTAATAAAATTCTATACAAAATCATTGAGTTAATTGTATGTTATTATTAATACATCTACTAAAACTTTGTAATTTATATTTTTACAATGTGCAAATCCAATTCGAGCAAATCAGTTTATAAAAATCTGTACAAGACGGGCAAATCATGTTTCTGTTTTTAAATAAATGCTAATTTTCTAAAATCATTAAAATTGTATAATTAAATATCAACCTTATTAATTATAAACTTCTTTAAGTTACCCATTATAATATTATTACTTTACGCACATCCATTTTCGGGCCAATGCTTGATAACTAACAAAAAAACGTGCTTCAGTACGTAATCCGTAAAACAAAATCCCTCTATTTAAGCTTTTAGTTCCTTTCAGCTTCTAATTTAATATTTTGTAATATAGAAATCTTATTACGAAAATATTTTAACTCATTTTTAATAGTTTCCCGTACATGTAAATTCATTTGAATTTGCTACTCGCCTTATGGATTTCGTTTTGTGAGTTGTTCTGTTTCATCTTTGCGTTTTATTATTCTGTTTCCTACGTGATGTATTTTTTACTTAATGTGTTCTATTTTGTTTAAATTTTTTCAGTGCTCCTCGTGCTATTGTATCGACATATTTTGCTTTGGTTGCATTGATACAATATTAGGAAGCACTCCTTTTAGCGGATATAATCGTGTAAGTTTATGAAAAGATTATATCTTTTCATTTTTTTTTTTTGTTTTCCGGCTATTTTTTAATACATATATTTTTTTAGCTATATTTTAATATATATATAAATTTCTTTTAAATATTTTATTTTGATAATTTTCTTTTTCTCTTTTCATTAATCTTTAATACTTCCCATGTTTTCTCAATATTTATAACTTATATTTGAAAGTTGAAAAAAAAATTTCTGTCATATTTAGGTTTGTTCCAGATATAAAACTACGATGTTTAATTTACTTCTTTTTTAATTTGCCTTATTATTATTATATGTAACAGTTAATCAAAGCGAAATAAGTTCAACAATAGAAAATTTAATTCTTTAAAAAAAAAATTATATTTATGTATTATTCTATGTTAGTGATGATCAGTAAATTTTACCGTAAGGTTGTACCAATTTAATAATTTTGATGGCTTTCACTAGACTCATTTTTCGAATTTCAGCTTAGACGTATCTATGTCCTCGAAACTAAAGAACATGTAACACGAACATGTAACATGAAGTTAAGTATCTAAGAAACATGTAGTTAAGTAATTCACAGATAATTCAAAAACCCGAGATTTACAAAAGCTCAAGCTTTATCTCTTACAAAAATTGCTTTTTTAATTGAAATAAAAAGACATAAGTTTCCAATATTTTTTTAAAAATCTTTACAAACAATTTTTTTCATTTCTTCGAAACACTAACGAGCATACGCTTTGATAAGTCATTTATTAATGCTTCAACAGAAAAAATATCTGAATAGATGCAAATATATATTTTTCAAAATAACCTTAAATTCAATAACAAAACCATATTGTATATTTCCTAGATAATTTGAAATTTAATTTTAGTGTAAATAAAATATAGCTGAAGATACTTCTAAACTGTCAGTTACATAATTTGGTTATGTTTACAATTCGCTAAAATAAAGTCTTTAAGGGAAATGTGAAATGCTGTAAATTATGCATTCCAAAATTGAAAATAATTAATAATAATTAAAATAATATATAAATGAAAAGTATACAACTTACCCATTTGAAAGTTATTTAGCTATCAAAAATTTTCATCATGTTACTGAAACGGAACAAAAAGTATATAAACGTCCCTTGTGTCTGAAAGGCAATAAATTAAATAGTTTCTTACATTATTTAAAAAATCACACACACATCCGTTGAAAACAAGTTCGCACAGACACGAAACACTATTTAATATTCAAGACGCATAAAGTGCAAACATTTTTAGCCATATTTTAAAGCATTTTACTCCAAATCATTTACTTGTTATTATTTGTTAAACCTGTTATCGCAAATATTTAAATAAAGATTCAAGCGAAAATGTTTTCATTTTTTGTTCAAACACTAAGCTTTTGTTTAGATTTGGTTAGATTGGAAGAAATGCAATATTTTCTCGAAAAAGGTTTCTCACAACGCTAAGTTTTTTTCAAGTAATTGAAATTCGTAAAATATTCAACTAGTTCCAAAATAACGTAATAAATTTAAACATTTAAAATAATTCTATGCACACTTTTCTTACTGTTATTCTGAGAACACCATCTTTCTTTTTTTTATTTGATCATGCATTAAACTATAGACTTGTATGCTTAATAGTGATTACACGCTTTCAAAGTACGTTTATCAAATTTTGTTGTTGTTGTTGTTAATTTACGTCGCACTAGAGCTGCACAATGGGCTATTGGCGACGGTCTGGGAAACATCCCTGATGATGATCCGAAGACATGCCATCACAATTTTGATCCTCTTCAGAGGGGATGGCAACTCCCGCTTCGGTAGCCCGACGACCTGGACGTGAAGTCAAGCACTTTACGGTAAAACAGTTTAACGAGGACCAATACCGCACACCCTCGGTACCTACGCAGGCTGATCCAAGTGGTCACCCACCCGCACACTAACCGTAGCCAGTGATGCTTGACTTCGATGAGTAATGTAAGTCTAGGGATTTTGGTGTCATTTTGAAATAAGTTAGCGAATTTTACATTTTCCTTAAATTTTGGAAGTATTAGTGGTCGATTTTCGGGTAGAGTTCCAATATACTCGATAGTAGATAAGTTAAGCCTAAATTGTGACATTCTTTATGTGAAATCTGTAACGATTGCTTTGGTAGTTAGTAGTAATTATTGGTGATCCAAATGGGTTACAGGCGGCTTAGAGGAGAACTCTTTACCTATTGCAATATTTTGCATGTTTTCCCAATTAACCTGTGGAGAGTCATAGAAGAATGAAGTACGTTAGTTTCTGTCTTGATTTTCAAATAGATTAAAACTAAATTAAACATAGTTCTAAAAGAAAGCGTCATGGAAATTTGAAAAAATATTCTTAACAATTAAATGCGAAAAATATTAATAAAGGTGAAAAATAGAGCCAGTACATTTCGATACAACTGAAAACAGAAGGAAGGGCCAAAGCAAGGGAACCGGTCTTCTCCCCAGATTGCGTATCCGTGCGTTGCGATAGACTATATTGCAAAAAATTTCGTAAATCAAGCTTAAATATTTGTAAAAATGTGGCCATATTAATATAAAAAACTATTTATTTATTTTTGTCTTCTTTGACTCCGATTTAATTATCTTAAAAATACATTAAGTTTGTGAAAATTTCTAAATAGTGTTTATATTTTTTAAAAGAAAAATCTAAATGAAAAGGGGTTTTCAACAAATTCCCTTTAGCATAAGACAAAATTAAATAACAAATAATACCTTACAATAGTCGACCATACACCAAATTATCTAACAGTACAAAATAAAATTTGTGGAAAATCCATAACCATATATATATATATGATTACGTAGAGCAGAACTCAGACACCAAATCTGATCTCTCTCACTCATGTCAAATAAATCATATGAAATATCCTTTACACGCCAACAATAATTTTTATAAATAATGATAATTTTTATCCTAATACAAAAAAATAACTACCATTTACATTTTTAACAATAAAAATGTCAAAAAATTATTCTTAAAAAAATCTTTATTAAAAATTTAAATGATATTTAATTAAATAACAAAAACTTTAATTAAACAAAGCACATATTTTTAAGAATGGGGCAATTTGTTTCCATAACATTGGAGGGGGGAAAATTTCAGCGTAACTTTTGCTGTTTTTTTTTTTTTAAATCATAATTTTACAGGATGGTCAAATTGGGTTAATTAACTTTGAGCTAATTATCTTTGTGAAAACTTTTTTCATGAATAGTTTTTCTCAATTTAAAGTATATTAATTTTTAAAAGTTTTAATGCTAAAATTATAAATGCTGTTGGATAGAGGATAAAAAATTAATCTGATCAACACTATTGTAACTTATCATTTCTTAAAAATGTGAATATTTCGCTTTATCAATTGAATATTTTTATTTCCCGTTTCCAATTTCAATTTAAATCCAGATAAATTAAACTAGAACAAGATAGGAAAAGCACTTCATATGAAAGTGCTTAAATTTTATTTATTTTCCCACATTTTTTTTTCTCTCTTTAAAAATCTGAAGTAAATAAATTTCATTGTCAAGACAAGTCATTAAAGAGTTTTTTTTTTAGGAAAAAAGTTGTATAACATTTTTCTTTGGTAAGATATTTGCTTTAGAATTTCAAATACAAAAATAAATAGATAGTCATGTGTCAGGATTGTTTAGTCATATATAATTGCATGATGTAATGAATATATATATATATAGTCTGATCAGATACATGTCATTTTGATCAGAAGTTTCAATAGGCAAAATATTCAAAAATATTTTTAAAATATAGCCATATTTCTACGACCTTTGCACACTGCAGTAACGCAACTTTATTTTTATCTCGATGTTAAAGATATAACTGCCGAAGGCCGAATATTTTTTAATATTGGCTTTTAAGTTCCAATCGTTCATACGATTTCCTGAGAATATTTTATTACACACATACACACAAAAAAAATTACACTATCCAGCCTTATAAATCAGGGATGAGATTGGCCAAAAGGTAAAAAAGCTGAATTTTCACGTGAGTAAATCGTGATTTATAGCAAAAATATCAGTAACATATTCTCATCCAGTTTCGCTGATGTTGTAATGCCTTCGTCGATCGAAAAACTGCCACATTTATAGTAACTAATTCAAGAAAAAAACTTACTTTTTGCAGGAATCGCGATCTTGGATTTTAAAATCGCGTGAATATAAATCACGATATTCAAATCACGTGAATGAAACTCGATATAGGATTTCAAAAATGTGAAAATACAAATCACGATGCGTAATTTTCAGATCGCGTAAATACGAATCAAGATGCATAATTTTTAAATCGCGTGAATACGAATCCAAAGCCTAATTTTTAAATCACGTGTAAATACGAAAATGGCTGTTGGATATATCATATATCAAATCGGAAATAAATATAATTATTTTATTTCAACGATTGAATTTTCAGAAAAGGCGAAATATTAATTAAAAAAAATTTTTTTTTTAGAGAATCGGAGTTTTTGATAAAAAGGCTGAAATTCGAGAGACAAAAGCGAAAAAGGCGGAAATCCGTTTAAAAGCGGAAAAATCTCATCCCTGATAAATTCAACTTTTTAAAGTGCTGAGTAATTTCATTTGACAAAAAGTACAATATCATTTCGCACCATGCAAAAGTTAGATTATTCAATGTTAGGAAATCAACTTTTCATACGTTGTATAATGTACAATAGTAAATCACACCTTAATAAACATGAGTATGAGCAATCAGAAGGCTATCTATTTTGTAAAAATATTTTATTACACACACACAACAAAAAATAGATTATTCAACATTAGGAACATTTTTACTTTACATAAAATGTGACAATAATTCAATTCACATAAACATAATTATAATAGCTTAAAAAAATTCTTAAATAAAATGAAATAAATTTTAAAGAGTTTCCTTTACAAATTTATAAAATTTAATTAAAAAACTTGCAAATGCAATTTTAAAGTAAGTGCATTTTATTTTAATTGTCTATAAACAAGAAATAGAAATATATTTTGTACAAGATATGGAAATTGCACTAAAAATAGTAATTTTTAAAAAATATCTTTGACAAATATTTTAAACTTAATTTCTTCATCCACTATGTTATAATACACAGTATAAGTAAAAAATTAAATAAAGTGCATTTTATTTTAACCATTTATAAAAAAATAGACATATTTATAACAAGATATTGAAAATGTGCTGAACCACTAAAAGAAAAGAACTACAAATTAATATTACACACTTATATATAAAGACCTCATGACAAATTTTTTTCTTTTTTTAATGAACTGTGCAGCTATTTCAAAATGACAAATTAAAATCATTTGCATATTACCTCGTTATTACATATTATTTTTTCGTTAAATAGTTCTTGGAATTAGAAGAAAACTTAATTAAAAAAACTTAATATTTGGTCGAATATAGGGATAAAAACATTCAAACGTGATAAATATGTTTCATAAACCAACTAAGAATAAGGTTTCTCTCCAGTATGAATACGCTTGTGTTGATTCAGAGTCAGTATTTGTGAAAACTCTTATGACATAAAATGCAAGAATAAGGCTTCTCACCAGTATGAACACGGCTGTGTCTCTTCAGACTAATTTTCAGTGAAAAACTCCTATTACATAGACTACAAGAATAAGGCTTCTCACCAGTATGAACACGACTGTGTTGCTTCAGAGTCAGTTTTCGTGAAAAACTCTTATAACATATACTGCAAGAATAAGGCTTCTCACCAGTATGAACACGGCTGTGTCTCTTCAGACTAACTTTCAGTGAAAAACTCCTATTACATATACTACAAGAATAAGGCTTCTCACCAGTATGAAGACGACAGTGTTTTCTCAGATAACTTTTCAATGAAAAACTTTTATCACACATGCTACAAGAATAAGGCTTCTCACCAGTATGAAGATGACAGTGTTTTCTCAGATAACTTTTCAATGAAAAACTTTTATTACATAAACTGCAAGAATAAGGCTTCTCACCAGTATGAACACGACTGTGTCGATTCAGACTAACTTTCAGTGAAAAACTCTTATTACATATACCACAAGAATAAGGCTTCTCACCAGTATGAACACGATAGTGTTTTTCTAGACAACTTTTTGATGAAAAACTTTTATTACATAAGCTGCAAGAATAAGGCTTCTCACCAGTATGAACACGGCTGTGTCTGTTCAGACTATCTTTTAGTGAAAAACTTTTATTACATATACTACAAGAAAAAGGCTTATCGCCAGTTTGAACAGGATTGTGTTCTTTCAGATTACTTTTTAGTGAAAAACTCTTATTACATAAACTACAAGAATAAAGTTTCTCACCAGTATGAACAAGGCTGCGTTTCTTCAAACTACTTTCTTGTGAAAAACTCTTATTACATATACTACAAGAATAAGGCTTCTCACTAATATGAATAAGATTGTTTCGTGTCAGATTACCTTTTTGTGAAAAACTCTTATTACATATACTACAAGAATAAGGCTTCTCACCTGTATGAACACGATAGTGTATAGTGAGAAGAAAATTTTGTGAAAAACTCTTATTACATATACTACAAGAATAAGGTTTCTCCCCAGTATGAACACGACTGTGAATGGTCAAATTACTTTTTAATGAAAAACACTTATTACATATACTACAAAAATAAAGTTTTTCACCAGTATTAGCACAACTATGCTCAGTCATATTTCTTTTCTCTGAAAAACTCTTATTACATATAGTACAAGAATAAGGTTTTTCCCCAGTATGAACTCAACTGTGTTGTTTCATAATCATTCATTGAAAATATCTTATTACATATACTACAAGAAAAAGTATTCTCACCAGTTTGAATTTCACAGTGTTTAGTAGGAATTTTTACTAAAAACCTCTTGTTACAAGAATATGGTTTACTTACAGGATGTTACTTATTTTGAGTAAATTAGGCCTTTAAATTAGGCCATATGATACAAAAAAGAACTTGCTGTATCAAGTCACTTACTTTGACTTAATTTTTAATTAAGTAAAATATAATACTGTAAAAATATGATCACCATACAGCAGGCGTATGATTTTTTAATGGGTGCATCTGTGAAAGTATTAATTTCAATTATATTGAGGTGTAAACATTTTTTATTCTTACAACCAACATAACTTTTGTCAAACATACCAAAATACAAAACCAAATTAAATTATTTTTACTTTATATTAACATGATAATAACTATTATTAACAAGAAATTTTCAAAATTGATTTCATTAGCAATTTATTAACAAAGACACAGTAGAAATATAATTTTTTATAAACGAAGAGTGGCATAAAATTTTTTTCAGTTCAAAGGTTTGAAATTATCTATAAAGATATAAAAGAAAAAAAACTTTAATTTCCAATTATTATATCAATGTTCTATCATGCACAAGAAAAGCAAGCTCTGATTCATTAACATAAGGATGAGAGTATTAAATTACACAACTGAATACAGAAAATATTTTCTCAGTGTGAACAGGAAAATCACTATTCAAATTTCTTGTTTTTAAATATATGTTTTATCATACATGTTTTATGAAAGTGACACACAGCTTAATTAACTGTAATTTAAATCTATTTATAACTATGAAAAGTTCGTTTAAAGTGTTACTTATACCAAATTATCCTTTTTTTCCTTGATTAATTTATCACAATGATATATAAATCGTACAGAAAACACAATATTTTTAAAAAAATATTTATGTACGCATAATATGAATTTTATTAACTGTCAGCAAAAAGATAGGAAGATATTTTATCATTCCCATCGAGTTTTTTTTTCCGTATAAAGAAGGTAATCTATGAATAAGATCTGCATGGAAATAACCTTTCTAAAACGCTTTCTATATTGTTTCCATTACTACGAGGGTAATTCACTTTACATGTGTCAGATTATGAATACGCAGGCTTATAAATTTGATCCAAGAAGTTGCAAATCAAAAACAATTTTTTTCAAAACTTTTCTTTATACAAATATGGTTAACTAATGTCTTCTAATGCCTACTTCTACTCACTTGATCTCCAGGATCTTGTGTCAGTGCTTAACGATATTTGGTCAATTTAGGAATTGGTAACTGGATGGAGTGAGCTGAGCTCTAACTTTCGCGGAGAAGAGTACTTCAAATTCCATCAATAGGGCATGAGCGCGTGAACTTTTATACGTGTTTTCAGTAGTTTTGAATCATCGTCGTTTATTTCCTCATATTTAAACTGCACTTTCTCAAAAATAAAACTGGATTTATTTTTCTCGTGAAATATTTGAAAGATCACTTGGAATGAAGATGGAGCGGATTAAACCAGTTCACAGTGGGACCAAAATCTATTTTCAGTGTCAAAAGTGGGAAAAATTAAGTGTATTCAAGTGTAAAACGTCTAATGAATATTATTATGAACTTTATTTTGCCATTTGTATAATTTTTTCAGTGTCTTTTTTTTAATCATAAAATAATTACATAATTAATACAATCGACGTTGATAATATTTATTGCAGATAATATATATTATCTGCAATAAATATTTTTTATTCATATATAAGTAAAAAAAATTTTATCAATCAAACACAATCATTTATTTGTTAACACACTGTGTAAATTTTTTTTCTTCTGCCAAAAGTTTTCTAATATGGCATTAATTTATTTTTACTTCATTACGCTCAAATTGTGCAGGCAGTGCATGAAAAAACTACAGAACACACAGAATAAATTCTGATTTAACAATCTGATCTTGAGATGAATTTGTATTTTTGTTCCCTGAAATTTTGGGGTGGAGGTAGCCGTAATCTTGGTAACCGCAAAGTCTGGTAAGATACGGAGAAATACACAGAAAGCAAAAACATTAATGGGTCCAAACCTTCCATCTTCTATCGCTCTCCTCACTCAACTATTGGGACCTTATTGATAGGGACCATATTTCTCAAATTGCATCTGCGCCCCCCCCCCATATATTGAATGCCAAGAATCCAAATCAGTTGAAAAAAAAGTGTGCTTATTCAGAGAAAGTAAATTTTTGTGTGTCTGATTTCGTAACTTAAAATATCGTCTTGTCCAATTAATTAACATATGTGAGATCACACCAGCAGGGGCATTAGACGAGGGGGTCAGAGGGGGCACTTGCCCCCCTATCGGGACTAACTTAAATGTCGTCGGGAAAACGCAACAGTCTTAAAAAGAAATTGAATTACATTCTTAAAAATTTCTAGCTTTTATATTAAATTTCTTTCTTTTTTTTTTTGTAAATGAGAATAAATTAAAAGCTTAAAGACGAAAATGTGTTCTTTTTACTTGCACTTTACCACCATCTTCCTGTTTATTTTTCCTCAGAAAATTTTGAGGGACAAGTCTTTTGTTTGTGTCCATATGGAAAGTTATTCAACACCCCTGAGAGATAGGGGTGTTGAATGGCTGTAATCAACACCCCTATCTCTCAGGACACAAGAAGACTGTCCTATCTTCTACCCTTTCGTACTTACGTTACTACTCTTTTTGAGACTGACTATAATGCATGTATAATTTTTGCGTTATGAGAGTAAGAGGTGTAGAAATTTTTTCAAATAGCGGTGAGTGCTACAACTATTTTTCTTTATTACACAAGTAATTTCTAAGCTTACGATCTGTGGTAAATTGCACCATACAGTACAAAATACATCGACAACAGAAAGGATAATGCGATTTAAATTTACATTAAAATAAATCTGCACATTATTGTATCAATTTTAGTGATTTTAGATTCTTAGAAACACACTTGAAAAAAATGATGTGAGAAAAAAATTTAAATCATAAAATTCGTTTTAATTTAAATGTTTTGAATTAATTTGTTTGAGTCACCCTGTCGGGGAAGACATGACCCCTTGTCGGGCAAAGTCTGGAGCTATCCTTGCACACCAGTGAACCATTCAGATGCTAATGCGTGATGATTAAAAGACATTCAGGATGTCCCCCCCCCCGCACTGTACTAGATGGAACTTACAGCATCTTTGAAAGGGGTCTGGGTTGTTAGTGATAAAACTGGGGCCTTGTCCATCACAAAATTGATCATATATTCTGTCATAACACAGCATTTCTGAAACTTAATACAACTTTAAAGTTAGAATTTGGTGTGCTGAAAGGGCCATTTTTGTTTATGAAATTACACGATTTTTTTTTCATTTTTTTTCGAAATTCCAATTTATTCAAGAGTTATTTCAATTTTGACTGCTTTCTGGTTTTCGTTACATTTTGTTTTACTGCGCAAAAACTATTAATTTTAGAATTTTGAAACGATGAAGTTTGATATAAAAATGTGCAGGGAGTGAGATGGAATTAAAAAAAAATTAAGATTCGATTTGAGAATTATCCTCTTAAACCGTGTAGTAAAAAAGTACTATATTTGTTGACGACATTCCTCTGAAATGCGCAGCTACAGAGATAAAATTTGCTGTACTGAAAAGGAAACTAATCTATGAATTTAACTCAGTTTTTTCAAAATTCTAATTTGTTCGATGACTGCAATTTCAAGTGTTTTTTTTTCTTTCGATTTTTTCACTTAATTTACTTTAAATATTAAAGATTTATCCATTGTTGTAAAAAATTTATTCATATTCTGCATTTTATCAGCTGCCGCTTGACTTAATTTTAAAAATAACCAAAAATGAAAAGAATGAATGAAAAAATAAAGATATTACGAGACATAAATCAACATTTATATCGAAGTTTTGAAAAATATAAAAAAACTCAAGACAGATAAAACCGTTTCCGGTTTACAGTATCACATAATATAAAAGAAACGTTATACATTATTAAGAAGTATAATTACTTCTCACTTACTAACCACATTCTTATTCATAGTATAATATTTTGTTTAAATGTTGGACACATGTCAAACAACAAATTTAAACAGTATTTCTAAAAAAAAAATTTAAACAAAAATGTTGACATTTTAATCAGAAAATTAGTTTTCCGAAACCCCCTTTCGTGGACGGTACTCTATTACCCCGATGAGCTTAATATTTAATAGAAATATTTTTGATATGTTGTACAATTAGACATGGTATTTATAAAAAAATGTTATGAAACCCTTGTAATCATTAAAGTTTATAATTAAAAGACAGACAAACTCATATATTTACTCACAATCTGTTTATCACAATAGGATTATAGGAGCTGGAAATTCTATGTAGTTGTTCCAGAAACAGCCAAATTTAAAAGTGATAATTATTGCTTAGTTGTATACAATACATCACTCTTGAAAAGTCAGAGACGTACAATTTTTTTTATAAATGTTTTTTTATTTTATTTTTTAGAATAAGTCACATTACGAGTCCTTCCCAACTAGTAGGATGAGACCGGGTACAACTCTAACTCTATGGCAAATTTAGAAATGCAGTAAAAAAGAAGCAGACATTTCTGTTTCATATGAAAAAGAAAATTATACACGTCTATGATATTATAGTTCTCTTCTTCTTCTGTTGCACCGCAGCTGTCGGGGACCAAGCATAGACTCACATAATAATTAGTATAGACTCTTTCTCACTCCCGTGAGAATGACGGGGTGAGGTTTCGCCTTCTATTTCTCGCTCCCGTGATATTTCCGGGCTGGAGTGTTCAGTATTAATGCGCCAATAAGAATAGAACTAATTCCTTTCTTTTGCCTGGAAATCATTTTATTTCTCATTTTACACACCAGATGGCAGTACCAGGATATTTTTAAGGTAATTGTAGATAGTTAGCTTGATTTAAACTAGATGTCAGAACTAATCAAATACGTGTATTTGTGATTGGATAAAAGAAATAGGCACTTTTATGACCATTTTCTTGAAAATTAACCGATCATAAAGAGGGTGGCTAAACCGGTTAGTTCCCGGTCTTACCTAGAGAGCAGAGATTCTCCAAAGTAACAGAACAGTACTATTATTGGACTAAATCAGTGGACGAACGTAGCGCTCTAGGAGTAGAGAAACGACTGTAGTCGCAATTTTTTTATCGCAGTTTGTAGGGTATTGTGCTACTTTTTTAGAAAAGTAGTATAGTAAGAAGTGCTGGAAGTTATATATGTGTATATACTTTACTTAGTGTATATGAATATATTTTTCCTTTTATATAAACGTAATTTTTACATTGGAATAAGCCAGAGAGAAATCAGAAGACTTGTTAAAATGAAAATTAATTCCTTCATTTGTTTTAATTTTTTCATCCCTTGTCCTTTATCATGAAAATTTAATTAATATAAAGTTAATTAGACTTCATTGAATTACTGC